GCTTCTATGATGATGATTGATTGTTGCCTTGAAACAGTATAGTGTTCGTTTTGTGTCTCTGTGTGTTGATTGTTTTGTTTGAACCCTAATTGGTCTTGATCGGTTTCTAGATTTATGTGTTCTTCATCTTCTTGGCTTTGAGACTGTCTAATTGATCTCACCGTTTACTCGAGAATTGATGTGAATTTCTTCTTCTAGGTGAGTCGTTCGCCAGTCTTTAAAGCAATGCTTGAGAATGAGATGGAAGAGAGCCGTAGCGGTACCATCAAGATCAGTGATGTGTCTTACGATGCTCTTCGGACTTTCGTCTGTTATCTCTACACAGCTGAAGCATGTCTCGATGAGCAAATGGCGTGTGATCTATTGGTCATGTCAGAGAAATACCAAGTGAAACATCTCAAGAGTTACTGTGAGAGAGTTTTGGTAACCAAACTCACTTGGGACAATGCTCTCATGAGCTACGCATTTGCTCACCAGCACAACGCAAAACAATTGCTCGATGCTGCATTGTCACAGATCACGGGAAATATGGACAAACTTGCTAAAAGAGAGGAATACATGGAGCTCGTGGAAAAGGATCCTCGCCTTATCGTTGAAATCTATGAAGCCTATCTCTCAAAACAGGTTAACACGGCAGCTGGTGGAACTAGCACAAGCTAAAACTGGTTGAAAGAAAGTCTCATAGTCGCCTAAAAGAGAGCGACCCAAACAAAAGGTAAGCTCTGTTTTTTGTTCTTTAGGAATAGTATCCAACACAGTGTAATCAAGCAACTAGAAATTTGCCGTATTAACAGTAGTCAGAAACTATTTGTAGGAAATATATGTATTCGTTCTCCCTGATATTGTTGGAGGGCAGTGTGTGTACTTTGTTCTTTTATCTTTGAATCGTGGTTTAACTGAAAAGGCGTTGCTATACTCGCGATCGCGGTTGGGTGGTTCACACCGCTGATCAGCTCATAATCTGGGAGAGATATCCGTCATTGTTTTCGTTTGGTTCAAACAGAAAGAATGGATGATACGTAGAAGCGTGGGCACGGTACCCCTACATCCAAAATCCTAACCATTGAAAGTAAAATATAGAAAGTCATCGTCCGAAATCCGCTAATTTTACCGTAAGAGTAAGGGAACTATGTTCAAAACCTCTTTCTGTAATGACTCTCCCTGAACTTCTCTGATCGTAATTGAAGATTACGGGATCACGAGTGGTGGTCTCAATATTTTGTCCAAACTTCTCTATTAGTTCCACATGATCATTGCTGATCCAAAACTCGATAAAAATATATCATGCAATGCAACATTCATTACTAAAGTACCACATTTATCCTAAACATAACAGGATCGAAGCGGGCCATAATATACACAAATATCAAATATGAATCTTGTTAACATACTCATACTTACAGGCAATCAAGCACACTATTAATTCTGTATTATCAAACAATAATAACCCAGTTACCTTACAGTCAACAATTTCGGTATCCATCAAGATTTATTCTTTCATTTTTTGCCAAAAATTTCCGCGACTCTAGTAGAATCATTTTTTTAGTGTTTTTTTTTAACAAATTACAAGAACAATTAGTGTCATTCTAACTAATTTCCATTTCTTTCATTATTTTCCCTTTTTCATCCAAGTTTTTAAAAATTGAAAGAGCTAAAGAAAGAAACCATGAGAGATAAATTTCAAAGGAAAAAAAAAGTACCCAAAGCATATGAAACAACGTTTAAACTCTTTAATCAAAAAGGTCGAGGGAACCACCCAACTCAATCTTCCGAACCTCAAACCCCTAAACCTCTAACTAAAAATGCCAATCGTTTGTTTTGTTCCCACTTGCCCTTCCCCCATCCATGGCTTCATAAAGCTCAGAGCTTCACCTGGTCGGAAGGCGTAGAATCATCTGGCTTCCAAACATCAATCATCAATCTCGCGTTTCCCGCCTTCTGTTCACACCTCTGCTTCGGGCCCACCGGTTTCTCATGATCATACTACGTACTCCCCGGCTCGAGATGGCTGCTGCCGCCGAACGCTGTTGAAGACGGCTCATGCCATATGCTCCAAGTGATCCCAGTTCGAAGAACCTACCACCATCTAGAGAATCATTTGATTCATCAGAGTCAAGGTCATCGTCAGAGTGATCATCATAAGCACTGTTGTACGGCTCTATCACATAGTCTCCAAATACCACACCCCCGGGTGTCGACGACAAGACGGTGCTAATTACATCACTCCTCTCCCTCTCAACCTCAAGCTTCTTCCATTTCGCCTCCAGCACAGGGTCTATCGCTCTTGGGTTGGCTCTCGGGTGAACCACCTTAACATGCTTCTTGAGTTTCCTATAGCTTCCGGAAAAAAAACAATCATCTATCATGCATGCTCTTTTCTTAGAATTCAGATACTTCCGCGCATCTTCCACAACTGTCCAGCCCTTCACCTGACCCCTACAAAGCGGGCACAACAGCTCTGGCGGTTTGCCACTTTTCTCTTCCTTCGCATAGGCCTTTTTGTACTGTTCTAGACAATTTGAGAAACGGTTTCCAGTGGCACACATGAATGGGCGGCATCCTTTGTGGTAAGATGAGCATAGGAGGATGACAGAGTTGTGAGGGATCTCAAGACAAACCGGGCATGTCACACCTTTCCAAGGTTTTCTTTTCAGAGCCTTCCCATGTCTCTTCTCCTCTTTTTCTCTGTTAATAACCTTTTTAAATTTGTTAGGATCCACCGGGAATGTACCAAACCGATGATCGACTGGATTTGTTTTACTTCTCCCCATCTGCTGAATGTAACTACAATGTAAACGATTATCACATATATTAGGAAACAGAATTGAGATTACACTAAAGTACTAAACAAAACTCTTCCCAAGCAACCAACAATTCTATAGAAAATTACAACTGACGAACATAGAACACGCATCAACTACAGAATTTTCTGTTTCTGACATGATTCTGAGATAACTGGTGGAGCCAGAGGGCATTAGCAGAAACACTACCTAAGAGTTTCACATCATTGATCATAATCCAAGCACTACCTCCTATAAGGTTAAAACCTCAGCAGTAATGATAAATACCATAACAAGCGGAAACTAATCCGACGCAATATCGTAACTGTGCCTTGCTTAAAGAAGTGCAGGAATGCTCCTAGTCCAAAAATCAAAATAGAGACCTTTTCTATGCAAATGGGATAAGCCCAGGAGAACACATTTGGACCCCAAAGGAAAATGGTTCTGAATGATAATTTTGCAAGTGAAGCATCCTTACCTTGCCCTACACACCATCCTACCCAAACCCAACCCATCTTAATGCGATGATATGCCAGCAGCTTTGTCGGCGGGAATTAAAAACCCACAACTGTTGAGGCTCACGCCGACAGCATTGGCTCAAAGCCTACAGGATTATCCTGCCCAGGAACTTCAAACAGAATAAGATTTGGATAATAATACAGACGTAACACCAGAAATAAGAAAGTAAACAACTAATGTGACAATAGGCAGAAGACGAAAGATATATCCACTAGCTACTGCTTCTTGGAAATGATGCTACTATATATCTAAGAAACACATAATGGTGAATTCATCGCCAAACTCTTTAGCTAATCGAAAGTTTTCCACTTAGGACAATAAATTAGATCTTCATGATCCGATAACATTTTCAATTTTCAACACTATGTGTTCTAAATCCAGTGTGGTGAAAACAACAAACACACAAGCAGAAGCATTGTTCACACTCAACACAAGTACAAACATAAACTCAAGTACCAACTTGTACAAAAATTGGATTGAAAATAACAACAAATCTATAAATCTGCATACAGTATCAAAGAGAGGACAAAAGGCAACAAGTCAAGATCTTATGAGCGGATAAGGATAAATATAACATCGTTCGGTATCTAAGAAGTAGAACACGAGAGGAAAGTTAAATCGGAAAAGAGATCGAATAACCTAGAACTCAAATCGCGAGGACTTACCCTAGAACAGAGAGAAAAAATCTCATAAAAGAGATTAACTTCAGTAGAAACAGATCGAAATCAAATACGAAATTGAATAGCTTAGAGATCGAACGTACCTGTCGATGGGGGCGTTATCGGAGGAGACGCCTTCAGGCGGCGGTTTCAACGGTGGCGATGGTGTAACCTGACGTCGAGAGTTTTGAGTTATTTATAAATAAAGGCCCAACTTTTCGGTATTTTGGACGCTTTTAGAAGATGATGAGATCCCTTGTTGTTCGGTGGTTGTGTGAAAAGCCTGGCCCATTTATTAACCATACATGGCCCATTAGGCCGAAACTTGGATTTTGTATAGTAATAGA